TTTTTTTTTCATCTCAGCCAGTCAGATTTTTTGGAGGGAATTTTTGCGATATCTATCTTTTCTTGTCTCTTTTCTTGCTCGGGCAGACAGGTGACTGAATCTTTGTAGCTTCGTGGGGGAAGTCAGTGCAGCGGCAAGTAGACGGGGATGGGGTCTCACTGGCATGGCGTGCTCCGGGACGACGTCGGCGATTAGACAGGAAGTTGGGCAGCGGCCTGGACCACCTCACCGACCGGACCACCAGCCAGGCAAGAGAGATCGGAGAAAAATGGCAGCCATCTGATTCGCTGGGTTTGAGATTAGATCAAGGCAGCACTGCACAGTAGCTACAGTGGCCGGTAAGCGAGAGAGCAGACCAAAAGAGCCAAGGAGCGAAGGAGCCTTGAAGCTCGCCGACGGCCGCCATGACGGACGGCTGCTGCTTCTGATCTGATGAAGAGGGCCGGAGCCAATCGCAGCGCGGCGTGCCATCACACCGGCGCGGCCGCTTTGCAGAAAGGGTGACTCGTTTCTGCTTGCCATTGGTCGTTTGGCTTCGGCCCCACTCTCGACTCCTCTGAGCGCTTGGGGCCGCTGTGAAAAAGCAGCCAGAAGCCAGGGCGTATTTCAAACGTGCAGCGAGGGTTGAAATGGATGAATTCGCCACATTTGTAGTGCGAGAAGAACTGCCACTTCAAAAGCGGTGAGCCCCAGCGCAAAAGGGTCCTTTGGCCGCCCTCGGACGAATGACAGGGCGCCAGGCAGAGTCACCTTGAGAGGCGGGTGCTGCTGCTGCTGCTGCTGCTGGTGCCACTGCCACCGCTGTTATGCACGACGCTCCGCCCTGAACTGCCCGCTCCGCCTCTCGGTTGCAGTTGGGCGAGCGGCCACCGCACTTCTTCTTGATTCCAGCCGCACTGGCAGCCGCAACAGCAGCCCCAGCAGCAGCCCCAGCAGCAGGCCCCACATCCCATCCGCCCGCGCTTTCTTCCCGCCGCGCTCGCCCATCTCGCCTCGCCTCGCCCAGCCCACTCGTATAACTGCGTCTATTCCACGCTTCCTTTCTTCCTCCCTCCCACAACCATACCGTGATACCTGCTCCCTTTGACCTTTGTCATACACTCTCCCCCCATAATGAACGCCAACGTCGCACGAACTGCCCTCAGGGCCGCCTCGCGCTCGTCGTCGCGACGTGTCGCCGGTGCCGCCCGTTCGCTCTCCATCGCCGCCACCGCACGCCCCGCCCTCAACAAGCTCGCCTCGGCGGCTGCCACCCCCGCTCTCGCTCGCGGCCTCAAGACCATCGAGTTCTCCGAGGGCATCCCCGAGAAGGTCTACGAGCGCGAGGACTGGCCCCTCGAGAAGCTCCAGGACTACTTCAAGAACGAGACCTTCGCCATTCTCGGCTACGGCTCCCAGGGCCACGGTCAGGGTCTCAAGTGAGTTTCGCAACGCTGACCGAGCTTTTTCTGCCATTCGCATGACCAAAGACTGACCTTTTTTTCGCATCCTTTCCGCCCCATTTTTACAGCCTGCGTGACAACGGCCTGAACGTCATCGTCGGTGTGCGCAAGGACGGCGCCTCGTGGAAGGAGGCCATCGAGGACGGCTGGCAGCCCGGCAAGAATCTCTTCCCCATCGAGGAGGCCGCCGAGAAGGCCACCATCGCCATGCTCCTCCTTTCGGACGCCGCCTGCACCTCGGTCTATAACTCGATCAAGGACAAGATGCCCAACACCCACACCCTCTACTTCTCGCACGGCTTCCAGGTCACCTACAAGAACGAGACCGGCTTCGAGGCCCCCTCGGACAAGGACATCATCCTCTGCGCCCCCAAGGGCTCCGGCCGCACCGTCCGCTCCCTCTTCCTCGAGTCGCGCGGCATCAACGGCTCCATCGCCGTGTACCAGGACGTCTCGGGCAAGGCGCTCGAGAAGGTCTCGGCCATGGGTGTCGCCGTCGGCTGCGGCTACCTCTACGAGACCACCTTTGAGCGCGAGGTGTACTCGGACCTGTACGGCGAGCGCGCCTGCCTCATGGGTGCCATCCAGGGTCTCTTCAAGGCGCAGTACGACGTGCTGCGCGCCAACGGCCACTCGCCCTCCGAGGCGTTCAACGAGACGTGCGAGGAGGCGCTCCAGTCGCTCTACCCGCTCGTCGGCGCCAACGGCATGGACTACATGTACAAGGCCTGCTCCACCACCGCCCGCCGCGGCGCGCTCGACTGGGCGCCCGAGTTCGAGAAGGCCAACAAGCCCGTTCTCGAGGCTCTGTACGAGTCCGTCCGCAACGGCTCCGAGACGCGCCGTGCGCTCGAGTTCGGCAACCGCAAGACCTACCGCCAGGACTTTGACAAGGAGACCGACGCCATCGCCGCACAGGAGATGTGGAAGGTCGGCCACAAGGTCCGCGCCCTCCGCCCCGAGAACGCCGCCAAGGGTCTCTAAGCGTTCCGTTGACTTGACGCCAACATGCCAAAAACCTGATCTGCATAGGATCAACAACATTTCCCTTTCCCCAGATGTACATTTAACGCCCATCCGCGCGCACTTTATGCAACCATGACTTGTTCTCAGCTTTCGCGCGCATTCTCGAGCATTGGCCGGGTCGGAAGATCCGATTACGGGGGAGGCGGTTTGGAGCACCAGTGGAGGTACGAGATGGAGAGGTCCGAGGTTTGGGTGAAAGTGGTGAGGCAGGAGGAGATGAAGCCTGCACCCGTGAGGAGCTTGTAGATGGCGATGGGGGAAAGTTGGATGCGGGGTCGCATTCCGACCAGGTCGGTTTGTGGGCCTGGGATGAGCTTCGAGTCGCGCATGAGTGTATGAGCCTCTTGGGGAGTTAGGTAGAGACGGTGGTCGTGGGCGTCGCCCTGCATGGCGCGCAAGATTTCCTGGAGGATCCAGATGGTGAGGTAGAACGAGGTGGGTGTGCGGTTGATCGTGTCGAAGGAAAATACGCCGTTGGGCTTGAGCACGCGTGCAATGTGGGAGAATGCGCTGCGCAGGTCGAACAGGTGCTCGAGGACGTCGGAGCAGATGATGGCGTCGATAGAGGCGGAAGAGAAGGGTAGTGCGTAGATGTCACCCACCACGTACTCGATGCTCATCCCGCGCGAAGCCGCGCGCTGACGACCCAGCTCGATGGACCGAGACGACATGTCAATCCCAAGGAGCTTGTAGGTGATGTTGCCATCAACGATGCCGTCCGCAGTGACCCGGGTGTGAGAGTGCGCAATAGCATCGTATATAGCCTCCACCGCAATCCCGGACCCACACCCAAGGTCGAGGATGGTGATGGTGTGCGATTGTGCCGGGTCGAGCGTGGAGACCAGACGGTGAAGCTTGTCTAGAAAGTAGTTGACGCGGACAGGGTTGAGCAAAGCAAGCCCGCTGCGAGACCAGTCGAACGTGTGCGAGTCGTAGATCTCGTTGTCCAGACTGCTTGTTGCCGGATCCAACTTGGCGAGGCGGTCCGCGTAGGGTTCGGGCACGGACGGTGCCAGTCCCACAGCGTGAAGTAGCGCACATGCGCGCTCCGCCGCCCAGCTGATGAGCGCCATACCGGAAGCACCAACGATGGCAGAGAAGTAGGACGACGTTGGGTTATGGCATCGGCATTCGTCGAAGTTTTTGTGGAGGTTATGCAGTCAGTGTCCGTGCGCGCACTTTGGCAGTGTGCGATGTGTTGCATCTGCATTCCCCACACGTGTGTCCACGCTCGTACGACCGCATCCCAAACACCGAATCCTAACCCCCCTTCCCAACCACCACTACCACCACTCGCACAATCATCACAATGGCTGCAGTACCCAAGGCAACGCTCTACACCTTCGACGGATCCGTCTGGGCCTCGGCCCCGCGTCTCGCGCTCGTCGAAAAGGGGTACGCCCAAACCGACCTCGACCTCAAGATCGTCGACCTGCTCAAGGGCGAGAACTTTGACCCATCTTTCCTGCGCATCAACTCCAAGGGTACCGTGCCCACGCTCGTCGTGCCGCTGCTCGAAACCACGTCGGCGGAGGTGGACACAAAGTTCCGCGCCATCACCGACACCAAGCTCATCCTCGAGTTCTTGGACAAGTCGCGATCGCAGAATACGCTCGCTGCCAGTGCGGATGCGGCGGCTGCACCCGCACCCATCCTGGCTCCTGCGACAATCGAGGGAAAGGCGCTGAGCGACGAACTCATCGCACTGGTGCATGGACCCAGTGTGGATCCTAACTTTTTGCTGCTCGGCATCCGAAGCGAGGCCGAGCTGCAGAAGGCCAAGCAGGGTGTACCCGGCACGTTTGTGGCGAACCGTCATGCGGCGCTGGTAGCCCACCAGAAGGCGCTGGAAAACTCGGCATCCACCACAGCGTTTGATGGATCCACCAACCCCAAATCGAGCGCGGTACACGAGAACCTCAAAAAGTGGTATGCCGACAAGATCTCTTCGCAGGCACTCCTCACGGGCGCCTACGTCGACGGCGACAAAGATGCAGTCGCCCAGCTGGTCAAACTCACCAACGAGGCATGGCAGAACGTGGCAAAGTGCATCGAGAAGCTCGAGACCAAGCTCACGGGGCCGTATGCGCTCGGCGACCAGATCTCGCTGGCTGATTTGCACATCGTCCCCTGGCTGGCCCGTATCGCGGCCGTCGCGCAGGGTGTAAAGCCGACGAGCGACCCCATCGCAAGCATCGATGCCGTCACCGCAGAGTACAACGTCAAGGTCGGCCAAAAGGTACGCTTTCCCCCCGCTAGCCTCGATGAAGGACGCATGCTTGTTTACTGACATTGTTTTGGCCGTGTGACCACAGATCACCGCTTTTTGGCAGACGTTCAGCGAAAGGCCCAGCTTCAAAGCCGTCTACGGCTCGGGTTTGCACTGATCTGCCGTCATGTCCCGCCCTCGGATGGGCTGCACCAACTGTCTCGGTCTCACACTCTAGTTTCGCAAAAAAATGCAATGCTTTGGATTCGTGCTGGGTTCTACGTCGACATGGCGGGTTGGAAGGATGCTGTGCCGTGGGTGTGTTTTTGGTCCAAGTAGCGTGCACATGCCGCCTCGACATCCACCACTTCCTTGGGTGCCGCACTTGACAACACAATGTTGTCCGTCTCGCCCACCGCAATGTCGTCCTCAACGCGGATGCCGATGCCCTGGAAGTGCTTGGGGAAGGCGTCGTCGTAGGGCACGTACACGCCCGGTTCCACCGTGACCACCACACCGCTCTCGAGGCGAGTGGTGCGCTCGACCGAGGCGCAGTCGTGCAGGTCGATGCCCAGCCAGTGGCCAATGTAGTGCGGATACAGCACGCGCTCCAGCGTGCCGCCTGTGTGGAAGCCGATCTGGCGCAGTTCCTGGCGCAGGAAATCCACCGAGCGTCGATGCAGGTCCGCCAGCGTGAAGCACTGCTCCTCGGTTGCCAGCTGCGTGCACGATTTGAGCACCTGGAGCACCGCACTGTACAGGTCGCGCTGAGCCGAGGAGAAGCGACCATCAGCGTTGGAAGGGAATGCACGCGTAATGTCGGAGGCGTATCCGTCGAGTTCGCCACCTGCATCGATGCAGACGAGCTGATCCGGCCCCACGAGACGGTCGTTGTTGACGTAGTGGATTGTCAGCGCATTGGAGCCCGATGCGACGACGGGCACGTACGCGGGTCGCTGCGAGCCTCGCAAGCCGCAGTTGTACTCGAACACCGCCTGGAGCTGCGCTTCGGAAACACCGGGGCGCACGAAACCCATGGTCTCGGACATGGCCTCGCCGCTCGCACGGCCGGCGCGCTTCATGATGCGCAGCTCGTTGCGCGACTTTACAAAGCGAAGCCGCTCCACCTCGCGCGCGAGCGAGTGACACTTGCGCGTATCGCCCAGCAGCTTGACCACCGCCTCAAAGTCGGACTTCTTGGCGAACACGTCGAGCGCCGTGGTGGAAGGCGGACTGAGGTAGTTGAGCAGGTTGCCTGCTTTGCTCTGTGCGCTGCTGGCGCTGCGTCGTGGCGTGGTGGGCTGCGTGGGCGACTCGACGTACACGTGCGTATAGCGCGGCAGGATCTGCTTGAGATGGTTCAGCAGGATGGCCGGGTCGAGCTCGTACGCCTCGTCGGCGCCAAATACGTCGACGGCACCATCGAGCCCCGTGCGTGGACCGTTCCAAGTCTCGTTGTGCTCGTCGCGCTTCTGCACAAACATGGTCATCTTGTATCCCCGCGCCGACGACGCGTCCTTTTCGAGGATCACGGCAGAGTCGGGCTCCTGGAAGCCCGTGAGATACCAAAAGTTGGTTTCCTGGCGGAACTTGTAAAAGATGTTCCCGCTCATGCTCTTGACGCGGCCGGACATGGCTACGACCACGCTGTTGTCGGGCAGACGGTCCATGAGCTTCTTGCGGCGCTCCTCGTACTCGGACTTCGGGATTCCCGGTGTGAGCTGTTCGGTGGCGACGATGCCGGTGCCGACGTCATACAGGCCGTCGTGCGGCAGCGCATCGCCAGGCCGCAGCAGTGCATCTTCCGAGCCCAGCACGCCGCGTCGCGGGAACAGATGCGGGTGCGAATGCGGCAAAGGCTGACCGTACGTCCTCTGCCGCCCAGCGAGGTTGGAGCTGGACGAAGCCGAAGACGACGAAGCGTCGGCGGTGTGGTACGGGTCGACGTCGTCGGTGGGTCGTGCTGCGGAAGAAGCTGTACGCCTCGTGATGGTGCCGGCGCTGCCAGGGCCGATGCAGGCGCTGTTTGAAGCGCGTGTGAGCCGACAGAGCGCACTGCGCGAGGTGCGACTCAAGCTCGCAGCCATGGTGGAGTGGCTCCGCTCGCAATCGTGTGGTGAATGCAGTCGCAAGGGTGGACAGCCGATTCCGAGTTGTGCCGTCGTGTGAGGGTGGAATTTGGGAAATCAGGGCCGGAGTCCATGATGCAACGGCGCTTTCGGAAGCAGGGCGAGGGTCCGCTTTGCGTAATCCTTAGTCATCTCTCGCCCACCTCACCGATCTCAGATTCGCGATGGCCGATTCTCGTACGAATTCACATGGCTGATGGGGTCCCATTTTTGCTCCCACGCCTCTTTTGACGCTCGATAGCAGGCGACAAATTGTAGCAACCCAATAGCAACGCACAATGCAGCCACGAGGTCGGGCCGCCAGGCAGTCATGCTCAACGCCTCGTTCGGCACACTCTGCACCCATTGCGACGCCCCACCGATCGTGTCGACGCTGATGGCGGCGGTGCATGACTGCTTCGTGACGATGCCTGTGGGTGCAGATGCATGTTGCGGCTCAACGGCGGCCACCGCGTGCCGTGCTCTCGGCATCCGATGCCGCAGTGCCGTCAGCTGTTGCTCAAGCCAGAAGGTCGGCCCCGTCACGAACACTAGTGAGTCTGACGGCGGGCCTTTGGTCAGAGGCGTTGATTGCGCACGGATCGTTGACCTTTTCGTCGGCACGAGAGGGGCCCCGCTGCGTAGGGTCCTATAGCGACCCCCGCACTTGACTGGAGTCCGGCGCGGACGGGCATCGATTGGGATCAATTGATAAGGAAAGAGCCATGCCGCATGACCTTGTTTTGCCAATCGTGTACAGTGCAGCATGCCGGCCCGTGCACCTGTGTGGCACGACAACGCCGTCCGGCCAATTGGACGATAAGGTCAGTGCTGCTTGGATTGGCAACAATGGGCGGAGTCGGGGACGGTTTCCAATGGAGAAGGACAGCATGTATGCAGGGTAGAATGTGTGCTCGGAGATGGAAGGCCGTCCCGCGCGTTGAAATTGACAGGGCCGTCTCGGCGTCTAGATGCCGTTGGCTCTCGAGTCGCATGCACGAGCCCTCCGGCCTTGGCTTGTCCAAGCGTGGAGAAGGAACTCGACGGATGGTGCTTTCCGAGTATCCTCCTCGCTCGGCTAACAGAGAGCCAGGACTCCGGGAACTACTGTAGACTGCATTGCATGGGAAAACAGGCCAAAGCTCATGGCAGACACACACGAAGAAGCACCTCATCACATCTTCTTGGGCGATCAGTTCCACTGGCAAAGCATGCGCCGGTCGGCACTCATCGCCGTCGACAATGGTCGTCGCCAAGTATCCGAGGCGTTGCTGCGGTGCCGGTGCGATGACGAGCGGTGGTGGAAGCGGACGCGCTTGGCGTGAGAAGCATGGCGGATCGACAATGCTGGTCATTTTGCGTCATCCTGCGAGAGGGCTGGTAGCTCTGGCAGCCTTATCGGCTGGCGCTGCTTGGACGAGAAGGTCGCATCGTCGCCAGCGCTCGAAGCGAGCTGACCTTGAAGCCTCGAGGCAGTTGGCGTTATCCGGGTGGCCGAAGCGGCCTCGGCTAGCTAGCTGAACAGGCTCGCGTCTTTGTATGGACGGGGAAAAATATTACATCATTGTTCAGCGCGATAGAGCGTGGTTTGGGGTCAAAGCTTCCAGGAAACCCTTTTTTGGACATTGTCTTGCTTCGGATGGATGTGACCCTGGGGGCTTTTGGAGGCCAAGCGCCTTGACGTGCGCAAGAAAAGAAGAAGAAGAAGCTTTTGCGCATATCCGTCGGCGGCCACACGCTACTGCCGTCGCATGGTCGTCACTCGCTTGCATCGTCGCCGCCGAACGTGACGCTGCACAGCCCCAGCCCCGGCCCTTCTGCATGCGATGCCTCAACGAGCTGCGTGAAGGCGAACGCAAGCAACTCTATCTGGACAGGCCGCAGCCGAAGTTTGAGTTGCCCTCGGAAGCAGCGGCCATGCCGAGGTGCTCAGCTCAGCCAGGCGCAGGTTCGCTACGGAGCATCCGACTGCTTCGAATCAGTTCATATCGATTCGGATCCGCGCCGTATTGACAGGTGGCTGCGGCCAACTGCAGTTCAAATTGCGGTTGTGTGGGGCGGCAAGCAAGATGCAGAGGGTTGCTGCACTTCAGATTCCGTTGTGGGGCCAGCCAGTTCCGAATCTGCAGCCAAAATCCCGTGATGTGGCTCGGCTAGCTCGCACCAACTGAGACGGCCTCTCGCCACCTTTTTGGCTCCTTGCGCGAGCGATTCTGCTCGACCCCAGCCGCGTTTGCGCACAACGCCGCTGCAGCGTCAGTTTGAGATCGAGTTCTCATCTCGAAAGAATTTCCAATTTCACCACGCACCCCGCTGTCTAAAAACAGTCGACCCACGGACGGTGTCGCTTTATGCACCTCCTCCGTTCCGATTACAGACCCCGCTACAGTGAGACCGCTCAGACCGCTCAGACAGGGGAAGCGCTGATTCAAAGCTAGACCGCTCCAACGGCGCTCGACTTGGCGTGCAGCACCTGAGCCACAGCATCACTCAAGAGCGTGGCGCCGTCAACCAAGCCCACGTCGTTGCGACCACTGCGCCTTATTAATAACGCCGCCTCCCGATCGGACGTTGCAAAGGAGCGCACGATGGACAGGTTGGAGCCAAGCCAGCTGGTTGCAAAAGCAGACCAGCTGGTGGCCAGGCTCCTCTTGAGGCACGGCATCTTGTCCCGTCCGAAGAACTGAAACCAGACCGACCTGCAGCGTGCAGCATCAGCAGCACATGTCAAATCAGGATCGACTCGCTGGGCAGTCGAGGTGCAGCAAGGGCGGCAACACGGGCCGCCACCAGTGAACAATGGACGGACGGGCCGTGCTTTGGGCGGTCTGGACAATGCGGGCCTCCAGTGGCCAATGTCAAGAAATTCACATCGCCCTAGCCGAGCAGCGACAGCGGGAAAAAAAAAAA